AAACATTTTTATTTTGTTGCGATTTCTTGAAACCGCCAGAAAAAAACCCCTACTAATTACTTAATTTTTTGTAGTGTATAATACAGATATTATTACTCTTATTATAAAATATAGATAGTACCCATGTAATAGGACTTTAATTAGTTATTAGAAATGTATCTATGAGTTATTTGTTGTATTGATTCAATACTAATTATAATTAGCACTTAGTATGTAATGCATAAATTAAATATTTACTTTTATGTAATTAAAATTTATAATAAAATAATTATTTTTAATATATAAACTATATTATATTTAAAATTTATAATAAATAAAAATTATAAATTGTACTTTAATTTATAATGAATAATATAAATTTATGATTTAAAATCATCTTAACTATAGTATTTTGTTTTAAAAAAAAATATTGAAATGTAACTTATAACAAAGATAACAAAAGACGTTAATTTAAGATGTTTTAGATTTTTTTAAAGTAATTTAACAAGGATAAGAATTAGATCGTGTATAAAATTTATAAAGATAAAATGACGATAATTTAAGATGTTTTAGATTTTTTTATAGTAATTATAGTCTATAGAAATAGTATGCGAAGGAATGACCTCATTTAATACTGAAAATGTTTAATTAATAGAAAAGGGTAAGGCGAGAGTCTTACCCTATAAATTGACTATTTTAATTTATAATGTAATAATAAATAATGTGATTGAGATATGGATTTTAACATTCCAATGGAAAGAAGAAGAAAAAAAGTGTGTAATTAAGATGTAATATTAAATAGTGAGTAGAAAACGCAACCTTAATCTAAGAAGCAGAGAAAATTAAAGTTTGAGAAAGAGACAAATTAAAGTGTGCATTATTCTTGTAAAATTCACGTTAAAACATAGAAGGCAGGTGCCTCGATCAACTTGAGAAACCTAGCAAAGCTTTTGTTTGCCTTTGATTTTTATGTTAAGGTTATAAGAGTATTCCTTATGATAATTATGAAAGTAAGCTTAATATTTATAGATAATCCATCAAAGCAACTCAAATTAATTATATACAATTATACATACACCGTGTCCTTTGTCAATACGCTGTTTTTCCTAATATGAAAAGATTAGGGGTCACTTGACCTTAGATTCACTGAAGGGACAGATTTAGCTTGATTCTTTAAAGTCTTGCCCAAAAAAGAAAAATCTCCTTCGCTCCAACTCCATCTTCTAATGATCCAACTCATACAACCAACAATTAATATTATAATTATAATACCATCGACTTATCAAACACAATTAATAGTTTTTTTGGTCAACACGTGTTTCAATCACTCATCAAAACACACAAATCCTTCACGGCTTCATCCACTTAAAGTGATTCAGATCTCGTCTATGATCTCAATATATATCTAAAGAAAAAAAAAACTGTCAAATTATTGCTAATCCAACCCCTTGATTATTAAAAAATAGATTAAATTATAGATTTACTCTATGTATTTAATGCTGTTTTCAGTCTTTATTTATATGGATAAAATTCATTTAATTTCCACGTGGAAATATTTATAAACTATTCTCTATCATTCATTAAATTTACAATGGTGTCAGATTTTTTAATATACGAACCTAAACAAAATAAAAAATGTTTACCTTTGGTAATTCTATCGAGAGCAATGAAAACGCTACCGTGCCTGCACCACAAATCCTATGCGATCATGAGGCTTTTCCTTTTTCTTAAATTACAATTCTCTGTTTGGTTGATAATATTTATGTATCATATTGTACCATTCCCTATTCCTACTGTTTTCATTTCAACACAATGTTAAAATCGTTATTATATTATGTAGCAACTAACGAGGATTTATTTCATTAATATTGGAATATTCCTCGTGATGACTTTACAGCTTTGAAATTACCATTAAATTAATATTAGTATAGAAATATGTTCCAAGAAATTCGAATTAATTAGGAATGGCCTTTACTAATGAAATTTACACACCACACGCATATAATATGTCTGCTAGCTAGGAGCTAGGTACCACCACTTGAATTCTAAGTTAAATTTCTGAAAGATGGGAATCTAGAAGGTTGTTTTGGTTGGAGAGATGATGAGAATTGAAAGTGTGTTGATTTCTGAACCTTACCTAGAAGAAGATAATCTAAATTAAGAAAAGAGAATATACTATCTATCACATTCATTATTTAAAATAATATTCCTCTCCTTATCCTCGAATATTCCTGATGGGGACCATATAGGTGACTTTGACGACAATCCTCATCTATGAATTTTTATAATCCTTCGATATGAAGCTGTGTAAAGCAATAAACAATAGACTAGAAGGCTCCAAATGCAGCTTTTGTCGTCTGTTTAAGTTATTTTTTTGGGCAAATGCATAATTAATAAATATATATTATTTACTCTAGCTAGTTGCTACATCGATATTGAATTCTCAACTTTCTATTTTTATAAAATCGTCGCAGATCACCGCCATGCAAATAAAGACAACATAAAAACTGGTGTCCAGCATATAAATTAGTAATTTAGACATTTTTTTTCTTTTTGCAATATGGTGTACTGAATTAAGAACTTATGCCGCATACTTATTATTTCAACTACTCTATCATTAGGGACCTTGATGATTTCTTATGACAGTTGTTTAATAAAGTTTTCTTCATTTTTTTTTTCAGAAAAAAAAAACTTGGATAGGTAGCTTATTACTTCACAAAAACATTGAATTCTAAAACCTACGAGTGGCGGATATCCTAAAATATTGAATACGAATAGCCCAATATTTTTCGATGCCTTACAGTGATAGTAAATAATATTCCTTTTAACTTTTGAACAATATATTTTCAATGATCTCAGTGTAAATATGACTTTGAACGGTTTGATTCATAATCAAATAACTATTATGAACTGTCTTCATTTGCAAATTCTGTGGTTGCTATATAGCGACTGAGTTGGCGACTGGGGTTTACACAGAAAAAAAAAAAAAAAAAAAAAACGCTGTGATTTTGCTAAGTTGAAAACACTAATAACTCCAATAAGATTTGAGTTTCAAGCTTGAGTGAACCCTAACAAGAATTGAATTTCATTATATTATAAAAATTTAAAAAGATAATGAGTAAAGTGCTTTATTAAATTTATATGATAATATGAATGTGAATAACTAATAAAGCTCGACATAATTAATAGATAACTAAATTTTTTAAACATGTTAACAATGCTTTCAACTGATCAATTCTTTTATCATGTATGAAAAATATTGTTTCAAACAAAAAAAATGATAATACAAATTGGGTGACAATGACAAAGTGATCTACATTTTCATGTAAGATCGAATAATAGGAAATTAGCTTCTTTGTTTTCTTATATATATTTTGCTGTGCAGTGGAAATTAATTAACCTTAATTTTTAACCTTATTAATAAAGATTGACTATGTGGTCGGAGGGAATATTATTGACTATCCACATTCCACACCTAACTCGCAATAGAATTACTAAATAGAGAAGTTGGCTAGTTGAAAGCTTTGACTTTTTGTTTGGTTGTGTTTGTGCATGTATATTTCTTACGGTATGCTTTTAAGGTGATTTTGCATAAAGTAATGTATGTAAGGTAATTACCGGGGCAATTCAAAGGGTGCTGAGATTGAAAAACGAGAAAAGAGAGGAGGGTAAAAACACAGTATTCACTATTGAGAGGCAAGTATTAATCTTTTAAAAGATTCTTGTGACCATCAATGCATCTCCACTTTCAAATAAAAGTAGCTTACCAGCTAATTCTTATAAAAACTTAGGTCTTGTTATTACTGTTAAGTCCCCTCGTACAATGCACGTGCACCAAATACATCTTTTATCAGTTCATGTTCAAGAAAACAAAAGTTTACCAGGACCATTTCAGTCACTTTAGATAGGTAATAAATCTTAAAAAGAGATTTGTTGTGACTTAAGTTATTCCCAATCATGAAAGCAATCTTCAATATTCTAATCTAAAGTGGTTTTGCAGTGCATGTTCGCAATTTTTTGATATATAGTTTGCTAGTTTATCATAAAAATCATATTACTCGTAATAATTTTTATGTTAAGAGTAAATATTATTTCTTACGGTAAAGTAAAATGAAAATAAAATCAAAGATAATAAATACCCTGTCTTTAATTCTCGTCATACGTAACAAGTTAGAGATGTCATTAATACGAAATTATTTATGTGTATTTATTTAACTTCTTAAGCTTTTAGATGGAAAAAAAAATGAATAGTTTTATTTCTATTACGCTGGTTTCCATTTTTTATTAAAAGAATGAGATTTTGGGAGTGGCAAGAATGAAACTATAATAACAGACTTTGGTACTATATTATTAATTAACTACCTTAAAAACATACATTATTATATGAATCATTTTATATTACACATTTAATACAAAGTAATCACAGTTTACTAAATAGAGCATAGAAAGTGATTCTGGTCCATATTATCCTCCATACTTCTGTCATTCTAGGAAATGGCGTTGCCTCCACCTCGTTCAGTGGATTATTGTCTCATTTTCTTTGTTTCTGTCAGGCTTGTGGCCCCGCCAAGCAACTCTTCCAAAGGTTAAGAGATTAACTTCATTTAAGAAATTTTAAGTGGAAATTTTAAAAAGAAAGAAAACAAGATAAGAACTCAATGAAAATAAAAAAAAGTATATTGAAATCGGTCCTTAAAATAAACATACGACTTTAGCCATATTTTCCCAGGTAGAGACAAAAATAGTAGTTTACTGAGGAATCAAATTTAGAAGATTCCAATGCAGAATCCTGCAGTGCAAATGACTTAAATATGTGTGCAAATTTTCAATGCCTTTATTTATTTGGCAATTTCATCTGCAACTTGCAAGATTATTTGGGGTCACTCATCCAAATGGAGAAACAAAAAGAATTTAATGAGACCCTCCAGTAAAACCCAACCCTTCCTGTAATCTTTAATAATCCAGTCCACGTTAGCCATTGGAATTATGTAATTCTTAGTAGCAGAAATTGGAATTTTTAGAACTGACACGTGTCTGCATCTTGTTTTGTCCCATGTAGGTTGTGTTCATTGTATATTCCATCGGATATTCTTAGATCCTCCTTCACTGTCATCATGCTACAACTATAATCCATTAATTCTAACTCCAACCCAAACAACCAAGACAATGAAGGTGCCTAGGTGGACCACTCAATAACTCATCACCAAATTGCAACAAACACAGTGGTGTGATTAAGAATTTGCTCAGTATGTAAGGAGTCTGACTAAGTCGGAATAGTAACTTTTAATTGGTCACAATATTGAGAAGCTGTACCAATTGAAACACAAAACATGCTTCCAAATTTAAAATTTGAAATTTCAGTTCACCTTCTGCGCCAAGGAGATAACATTGGTTGCCAGCTAATGGGGACTTATTCAACATCAAAACTGTCACTTTCTGTGTGTTTTACCTCTATAATTTAGATCCCAAATAACAGGAGCAAAGAACATTTTAGTACAAAAAAAGTCAGAAGAAAATATCAAAGTACTTTCTACACCAATTTGGTTACAAAACTTGTGTAACATCTTGAAATTCAGTAGCCAGGGGAAGTAGAGGTATGTGTGGAGGAGGATGAGGTAGGAGAATTCGAATGAACAGCTCCTTCACTATGATTAGCCCCTTCTTCAGAATTTGAATGTTCAAACAGCTTCACTTTCTTAAACTGTGGCTTCTTGATTGAATCAGCAGGTGGGTGAGAAACAGGTGTAGGATGTGTGGCCACTGGTGCATAAATTCCAGCAGGTGCTGCAACTGTGGTCACTTCCCTTGATGCTGTTGAGTTAGCTACCGCTGCATATTCTGGTGATTGAACAAAAATGTTCCCCACAAGGACAAAAGGTGCTGTTTGTGGATTGGAACTGTTGTGAACTATAGGACTTGGCCTTCTAGTGTGCAAACGGTATTTCTGTCCAAACCCCAAAACAAAAATATTAGACTATGAACATGATTCAAACAAAAACTTATCACTAGTTAAGACTAGAGGAGAGGGTTTTAAGAAAACAAGAAACACAGTTGATGATTCTATATCAAGGCAAGAGCCGGGATGACTAATACGTAATAGCAAGGACCGCAATTATTATTTTACAAGCTTAAGCCAAATTTGATAACCTAACATTTGGGAATTGGGATATATACATGATACATCCCATATAGCTAACATACCTGTAAATGGCTTTTGACTTCATCATTTGTGAGGCCATCAACATTCATTCGCTCTCTGATTTGCTTTGGTGTGGCAGCTGCAGATGCCACAAAGACATCAATACGCAATTATAGTAACATCAGTCATCAGAAACACAAAACAATCAGAACATAGTATATATTAAGATACTCACAATCTGCACCCCCAAGTTGCTGAAGGGCATGCACAAAACGCTTGTGCAAGTCCTGAGACCAGCACCTGCGCTGCTTTCTCTGTCCCTCTTTCTCCTCTCTTTTACTGCTCTCAGCAGCCGCCGGCGGAGAGGTTGCTTTACTCAATGATTCACTTGTCTTGGCAGCTCTTTCTTCCTTGTGGAATGGCTGAAAAGCACCGCCAACACTTCCACTTTTCTTCAACTCAATCCCAGGTACCTTCCTAGTCACATCCTGAACAGTTTTCCACGGGAAATTGCATACACAAAAAGGTCAACTCAATTCATCTCTTCAACACAAATTCAAGCAATGGCAAATTGAAAATAATTAAGCTTTGCCTCTCTTACCTCCTCAGCTGGGGGATCTGGATTCCACAGCTGAACAGATCTAAGCCAGTCTGATTTCCTCTTATCACTGTTCTTATTCTCCTTTGAACCCCTTGTCTTATTAGAATGCTGTTCATCATCTTCATCAAAACAAGGGGATGATGCCCTTTCCTTGTTGATTGGAATAAACTCCTCCAAAACAGGTCCCGTTGATGTTGTCTGCTCCGAACACTCCGATTGGCCATTCAAATTATACTCACTCGTGGTGCCAGACAACTGCTGTTTGCAAGTTTCAATGGCTGCAAGGAAAAAAAAGAAGAAAAAAAAACCAGAAAACAAAAACACCCTGAGAAAAGAAACCCAGAAAAGAAAGGAAGAAACTTTAAGATCCTCATGCCAAAACAAGAAAAGGGCATGGTCTCTAAGTTTGTTGGGTTACCTTGAGTGACCAGTTCCAAGGAGAGAGGAAGCTCTTTGGAGAAGACCTGAACCTTACGGCGTTCTTCCTCCAATGCTTGGATGTAGTCAGAGAAGGCCATGTTGAAGCGGTGCATTTTGTCAGAGAAATACATTGAAGCGTTGAGAAGAAGGAGAATGAGAAGAGGGAGAAGGGATATATAAGGAAATGGCGTTTTGTGGAAGCAGAGAGAGAGAGAGAGAGGTTCTCATATGGAAGAATATGGGATCTTAGAATCAAAAATTGGAATAATAAAATAGACTTGTAAACCAAGCAAGAAAAACAATTGGGAAAAGGAAAAAGAAAAAGAAAAAAAGAAAAAAGAAAAAAGGAAATTCCCAACAAAGAGGGAAGAGAGAGACAGGTCGAGAAAATGAGACATTGAAGCGAAACGCTCGGGAAAATATCGCAGTCGGGGCGTCGCATACCAAACAAGAATCTTTTATGCCTTTTATTATTATTTTTTCTTTTCCTCTCCTCTCCTCCCCACACAGATAAATACTACCATTTGTTAAAAACTCAATCAAAATATCTTTTTAAATTACTTCAAACCAAGTCTATATACTAAGGTTAACAGAAATGGCTTATATAAGTACATATTATTTATAAAATAAATTAAAATAATAATATTAATAATAATATTTGTGAAATATTTATGATGATAATAATAATGACATTATCAAATGCAACAGTGTCTTTTATAAAATTAAAAGTTATATTTCAATTATTTTTAACTTTGAAAATAAATTAAAATAATTTAAAATGTTTTAATTCACGTTAGAAATCATTTTGGTCTCATTTTAGTCAAAGGTGTTTTATTTTAAAAATTATATTAAAATAAAAAATTACAACTAGCCTATACTGTTTTATGCATAAAACAGTTTAATTAATTAACTGTCCAAAAAAATATTATTTTATAAAAAAATATTATCCTAAAGTATGATCAAATAATTATGATTGAAAAATCAATATCATGAGTAGTTAGCTGTATTAAAGTTTTTTACTGGTAATAATTAATAATCTGTAGAAGAAGGAGAGAGAGACGGAGATGGTACTTTATTCACATTTTCATCGTGCGTTAGTCTTTTCCGTCTATTCACCAATCACTACTGTTCGTCTATTCCTGTTTAAGGATAAGATCAAAAAACTCTATCCTCTTCTTCGCAACCTTTCAATTTTAGTATTACAAAGTAAACTAAGCTTTTGTCAAATTATATTACCTATTTTATCATTTTAATTGTTTAATCAATCTTTTAAGATACAAAATATAAATTGTAAGTAAATATTCAAATTTCAATTTTTTATACTAATAAATATAACGACATTTTAAATTTTAAACTAATTAATGACAAGAGTTTTAATTTGCATAAATACCTAATATTTTTACTTCATTTCACTACAATAAAATGGACTTTTAGTGACATTTAATATGACTTTTAGTGGTAATAAAAATTACTACAAAAATTTTTACCGGCACCTCACACATTAGTCATTCTATGCAATGTTGCTAAAATATTTAGTAACAATTATTATATATGTTGGTAAAGACCATCATAATGGTCGAAAAAAGTGTATAACTTTTTATGTCATTTATTACTGGCATTTAAAATTGTTGCTAAAAGTTTAAGAAAAGATTTATAATACTCTTTAATTATCTTATTTCTAGTCGATGTAGGACTTGTAAGATAAGTATAAATACTCTTTTGTTACCTTATTTCTAATTAATGTGGGACTTAGAAGATGAAAGTTATCTTCTAAGTATATATTCTTTAATTTTTTTTAATTATCTTATCTCCTAAATATCAACTTAGAATAGTAAGTTATAGGCCCAACTCAACCTTATAAAACATACTTGTAAGGTGAGAGTTATCATTCATTTATATACTTTTTATTTATTTTATTTCTAGTCGATAGTTTTTTCTAACAAATAACTGTCGCTAATAATAATTTTTGATGTGATATAAATACATTTTTAGTGGTCATTATATAATAGTCATTAATATTTTTATTAAATAATAAAATGGAGACAATTAATTTATTGTCATTAAATAATTGTGGTAGTACTAAATTTTGTTGTAGTGTTTATACTAGGAGAAAAATAACATTTCGTCCCTTTATGTATTTTGTTTGAAAAATAAAAACAAATTAAAATAAAGTGGTTAAAAAATAGCTACCTCAGTCAAAGATTCAAAATACATCATGTTAAAATGAATTGGATTGATTCAAACTAAATTCTGAGTAGTAATTCGGATCAAATTAAATTAGATCAAGAACAAGCTAAAGCGGTTTGGTAATTTGTTAGGTTTGAGATCTACTCAATCCATGAACAATTATAGTTTAGAGTATTAGTTAAAGAATAAAAACAAACTTGTTAAATGGTTTAGGAAAATAATTTAATCATTAATTAACCATTGGGTACAAAACTTGCATTAAGGACGATAAGCACGGAATAGGAATAGGAATAGGAATAGGAATATGGCGAGGGGTTCCAACTTCCAAAGACAAAGAGAAGGGAATATAGCGTCATATTATATTATTATGCTGCGTAATTAATATTAAATATTAATATATGATTGTATTAAACTTGACCTTTCGTGTAATCCAATGGCCAACCTTGTGCTTCTCTCTTTCTCATTCTATTTCCAGCTGTGTTGTGTGATCCACTTATCTTACATTAGCTTTGCGTTTATTGTCACACATTTTATGATCATATGCATTTTCTTTCTCTCTATATTATATTTCCTAACAAAACCTTCTTCATACCTACTACTAAGAAATCGAACATCTATCAAACATGTTAAAAGATAAACTATCCATCAATCGTGTGTTGAATCTTATTAATTCTTTATACATTACATATGTGGACCACATGACAACTTCCTTTATAACGTGATCACATGAAATTTGTCATTTTATTTTTGCTTTAATATAGAAGAACAATTTAGTCAATAAATATTTCACAAAAATCCATGCAAGCATTCATAATCTCTTAAGTTGTCTATTTTTCTTATTATTTCAAACGAAATTCAAGTTAGTTTGTCTTCAAGAAAATAAATTTTATAATATTAAAGTAGAAAACTAGTTTTTTTTTCCTGTTAAATTCAATTAAGAAAATTTTTGTTTTCTCATATTTAATTTCTTTATGTTGTTGTTTTAGAAAATGAAAAGGAAATTGGAATAGAAGAAAAAGAAAGACAAGCTGCGAAAAAGAGAAAATAGATAAGGGAAGAAATTGGTCATGGTGCTTATACAATGATGCAAAATGTTATAGCTAACAAGCAACATATTTCAATCAAAGGCCTATTCATAGTCATAGGCTTAGGGACTCTCAAGACCCAAGTGGGTGAATTTCTTAGGTGGCTAGGTTGTCTCTAATCATCTCTACATTCTCCCACTAACTAAAACCCCTTGCCACTCATGGATCTTAGTACAATGCTTAAATGTTGAAGGAATTGTTTATAATAATCATGAGGTTGTTTTTAGTGACACTTTCCATATTCCATTAAGTGTCATGGTTAAAAATTGTTTAAATTGTTTTTCATGTAATTGTCTCTTATAAGAAAGTTAGAATACTTCCTGTACTTCCTCGAACATAATTATTTTTGCTTACCAGCACTTAAAAATTTATACTAAGTTTTAAAACACCATAAAATTACTGAAGAAAAATATGTTGTGGTAAAGACAAAATTGTGACTAAAAATTAAAAATTTGTTGACAAATGTTTATTTTACATTAACAATCTATCCATCTATTATATAAATGGTATAAAAACAATTTTTTAAGTTTTATTTAGTATAAGTATTTGACTTTATTTACATTAAATATTTACAAGTACAAAAGATTTTCTTTATTTTATTAACAATCATCATGTATGTAAGAGTACAACATCCATAAAGCATAGATCATTTTTCAGTGAGCTGTTAATAAAAAATAAATAAAATGTTAGAGTGTTCAATATTTTAATTAATTTTATGATAACAATACCCTTATTTTCCATTTATCATGGGACTTGGGTTACTTGACCCAATACCATAAATAAACATACTTACCAATTAGATTTTAACCTAATACACACAAAAATATAATATTCCCCTAAGTAAAATTATTGAAAAAATTACAAGAAATATCTAAATAATTTCTCCTTTTTTTTCTGCAAATGATTTTGCACAAAGTTTTATAAGAAACATTCCTGTAAATAAATATTTGTAGGAAAATCCGCAAGAAATTTTAAAATTCTCTGCATAACTTTTGTGTGAATATAAACGTGCAAGAAATAACGTAATTTTTGCTGGAAATATTCATCGAAAAATCCACAAGAAAAGACAAGAAAAAAAAAAGTAGTAGTATTGGGATGTTATCCTTTTCCTAAATTGGATAGGGATCCAACCTATCTTGCTTGGCTTTCCATTTGGATAGACATTTAGTTTTTTGTGTTGACATTTCTGTTGTACGTATCATCATTCTTTCTTACAATTTTTATGCATAATGTCTTACTATTATTTTTGAGCATTATTAATAGAGAGTATTAGTAATGGGTCTACAAGTTTTGTGAAACAGTTTGGGTCAGGCCCACTAGTTTTTCCTTTAGGGCTCAATGGATCCTTTGTTTGTCCCTCGTTAGTTGGTATGGTATGGGTCAGCCTTGCTATTTGCTAAGATGTCAACATGTAAACATATGATTTACATTGCCAACCAGAATTTATTTTCCTCGCTTGGCTTTCAAATGCAACCACCAAAATAACATCATCTTTTACAATCCCAATTTTCATCCCTAAGTTATCCAATATTAGAGGGGAAGAAAAAAGAGAGAAATATTACAAAATTTATAAATAAAATAATAATGTAAGCAAGGAAGTACTTAGGTAAAAGGCATAGCTGGATATTCAATAAGATAATTAAGGTAAATGCCTAGAGCTCTTAAATTTATAAGGCTTCCAAATTTTTTTAATAGTAGTATTATTGATTTAAATTAATTTTTAAAAATAATAATATTTGAGATAAGGCCCAATATTTTATAAGATACATATCTTATATTTTTCTTATTATTAAAATTACTTAAAAGACCACAATCCATTTATTAGTTTTTGTAAATAAAAAGCTACTCAACACTCAACAGTGACTACTACTTACTTTTATCTTTTACAGATGACAAATTTTTAACCTCTTTGTTTCCTCTTTAGTCTAACTCTTTCTCATTCTCTCTCCATTCTCATTCTCAACTCTTTCTTTGCGTCTAATTTGAGAGCTTGATTGGGA